GTGCGTTCTCCATCCCAGTGCCTACACTCACCTCCAGCTCCGTGCACACCGGCTCCCGGGAGCAGCAGGAAATGGTGCAGGCTTTCTCTACCCAGTCTGGGATGAAACTCGAGTGGGCTCAGAAGTGAGTGCTGGGTGTGTGTGGGAATGAAGATGGGTTGGAACAGCGGGGGAGTGAATCATGGAAACTCGCAGGCAATTTGGAAAAGTGACTTTTTGGATATTTTGCTGCCAGAAAAGGGTGATCCCATGAAAAAGGTATCATACTATTAAATGTGTAAAGTATTTTTAAGATAGGATAATGCTCGGTGACAGCACCTTGTATATGGAAAAATCCAAAAAAATCCACGAAAAATAAATAAATAAAACATAGAACTAATAACTAAGTTTAATGCAAGAACTATATACAAAACTCACTTGTATTTCTATGTAGTTGCAAAATGAACACTCCAAAAACGAAATGAAGAAAACAAGCCCAGTTAAAATAGCATCAAAATAGTAAAATATTTTGAAACCAATGTAACAGAAGAGGTGAAAATCTTAAACTCTGGAATCTGTAAAACATTGTTGAAGGAAATAACAAAGACCTAAATAAGTGGAAAGACACTCCATTTTCATGGGTTGGAAGATTTGCTGTTATTAAGATGGCAGTACTACCCAGAGCAATCTAGATTCAGTGCAGTCCCTATCAAAATCCTTCCTTGCAAAAAAAAAAAAAAAAAAAAAGAAGTTTAGGATAACCTACACTTCACATGGAGATGCTCAAAAACAATCTTGAAAGAGAAAAACAAAGTTAGAGAACACACACTTCCCAATTTCAAATCCTGCTGCAGAGCTACAGTACTCAAGACTATGTGGTGACTGGCATGTGGACAGCGTTAGGAATCAGTGGAGTAGAAACGAGAGTCCATAAATAAACCCTCACATTTATGGTCAGTTGATTGTCAACCAGAGTGCTGAAACAATATGGTGGGGGAAATAATAACCTTTTCAACAAATGGTCCTGGGACAACTGGATATCCACATGCAAGCCAATGAATTTTGACCCCTGGCTCACACACCATGTACAAGCATAGATTGAAAATGGAGCAAAGATCTAAAAGTAAGAGCTATCACTTTAAAATCTTGGGAAAAAATGTAGGTATAAGTCTTCATGACTTAGGCAATCATTTCTTACATATGACACCAAAAGCACAAGCAACCAAAGGATAAAATGGATAAATCGGACTTCATCAAAATTAAAAGCTTTTGAGCATCAGTGCACACTATCAAAAAGGTGAAAAGCCCACCAGCAGCATGGGAGAAAATATTTGCAAATCACATATGTGGCAAGAATATATGAAGAACCCTTGCAGCTCAACAATAAAAAGGCAAACAACCCCATTTCTTTTTCACATGGGGAAAGGATCTGAATAGACATTTCTCCAAAGCAGATACATAAATGGCCAACAGGCAAATGAAAAACTTCTCAACATCGTTAGTCATTAAGGAAATGAAAATTGAAACCACAGTGAGTTACCACTTCACACCCACTAGGATGGCTTTAATCAATGAAGCGAAGGATAACAGGTGTCGGTGAGGATGTGGAAACATTGGAACTCTCACGTGTTACTGGTGGGAATACAAAATGGAACGGTGGTTTGGGAAAACATTTTGGCAGTTCCTCAAAATGTTTAACATGCAGTTACCGTATGACCCAGTAATCCCACGCCTAAGTATCTATTGGGAGAAGTGAAAACATATGTTGACTCTAAAACTTGCACAGGAACGTTCATAGCAGCATTATTCACGAGAACCAAAAAGTGGAAACAACCCAAATGTCCTTTAGCTGGTGAATGGATGTATAAATCTGGTACATCCATATAGTAGAATATTATTCAGTCATAAAAAGGAATACACTTCTGATATGTGTCATGACATGGATGAACTTTGAAAGCATTATGCTAAGTGAAAGAAGCCAGCCACAAACGGTGGCATATTGCATGATTCCATTTATATGAAATGTCCAGAGTCGGCAAATCCACAGGGACCAAAAATAGATTAGTGGTTGCCAGGGTCTGGGGGAAGGGGAGGAATAGGGAGTGATTGCTAATGGTTCAGGGGTTTCTTTTTGAGGTGATAAAATTTTTTTGAAATTAGATGGTTGTGATGATTGCACAATCTTGTGAATATACTAGAAGGCACTGAATTATATACTGTAAAACGCTGTGTGCATTATATCTCAATAAGAATGATAGGAATCCTGTACTTTAAAATTTTTCACTTGTCATTTTCTTGAACATCTTTCTTGATCAGTATATATTCAGTTTCCTTGTTCTTTGGCACAGCTCTACTTTTCTGTTTTGAATTCTAGTGGGCATGAATGCTAGTGGTAGATATTTTGGTTTTCACTGGGTCTTTCTTCATCATTACACATAGTGCTCATACTGGTACATGTGTCCCAGCAAGACAGTGGCATAGATTTAGCAGTGGCATTGCACGGTCAGCATGTCCGTACTGTGGAACCAATGGAGATCACCTGTTCTTCTCCCACTGCAGGTGCCTTCAGGACAATGACTGGAACTACACCAGAGCTGGTCAGGTCTTCACTACGCTCAAGGTGAGGTCTGGGAATCAGGTGGGTTAAAGATGAACATTTCTGAGCCTTCAGGAAAGCCAAGAAGGTGGAGGCCAGTGGCCTGGGGGTGAAACTCTGGGAGCTGGCTTTTCTAACATCCCGACTCCTTCTCTCCAGGCCGAGGGCAAGATCCCAGAGGAGGCCTTCAAACAAATCCCCTAAAAGGAGCCCTTGGATGACGTCTTTGTCTACATCCATGTCATCTTTGTTTCTCTCTTCTCCAGCCTCAGGCCACGCCCATGGCTGGGGTTGGAGGCCTAGCCAACTAAGAAGCCAACGTTACCTTGTAGACCAGGTGACATAACCACCTGAAGGGTCAGTTGTTCTGTGTATTTTCCCACCCACAATTGCTGTTTAATTTCATAATAAAGAGTGATGTTGCATGTTGTATGCTGTGTGTCCTGCATCTCTCTTCCCTGTCCCAACCATGAGCCAGTGGGTCCAGGACTGAAAGACCCTGCCTTCCTACCCTATGAGGAGGCACCTGCTAACCCAACAAGTGGGGTTTATATACACTTTTTTTCCATTTAAAAACATGAAGATTCTGTACAAAAATAGGATAATGGGATTTAAAGTGCATGCATCAAAACTCCATTATGTCCCACCACATTACTAGGTGGTTTACATATGTATATCATGACTCAAGTTGTCTCCTCCAAGCCACCTCAGCTACATCCAGTAAAACACCTAAAGCCATTCCCACCAAGTCAGGTTTATGCAAGAGTAAAATCCACTGTCGTCATTTACCACCACTGTTTTAACCAAAGGTAATAAATGTAGTTTAACTAAATGTAGTATAATACATGTAACTAAATTCATTCTAACAAGAATCACTTCTTGTCTGTTACAGATAAAAATGCTGCTTTTGTTGATATCAGCTATATAGTGGTAATACAAATTGGTTTTTCCATGATGTGTAAGCATAAATTTAGAGCAAAATTTTCCTTTTATCACATGGTGCTTAGGAACCGCTAGCACTTCCAACTCTGACTCACTTGCCTGGTTTCTCACACCAGGGCATTAAGTGAATTTAATGCCATGTTGCCCGTGTGCCCTTAGATTTTGCCCATTCTTTTTGTGGTCACCCCTTCTGGAGCCACAAACCCCATCAAAGATCAATTCCTCGCTTCAAGTATAATCCTCACTATTGTAAACTCCTAGGCATTTTATTCTGGATATTTGGCAAAGCTTTTCTTTTTCTTTCTTTCCTTCTTTTTATATTAACCATAATATATTTCTGCATTAGTTTTGTACTGCTGCATAACAAATTACCACAAAGTTTGGTAGGCCAGAATTTTGCAACAGGGTTCTGTGTTCAAGGAACCATAAGTCTGGTATCAATGTGCCAACTGAACTGTGTCCTCACTGGAACATCTAGGGTGAAATATGCTTACAAATGCATTCTTTCTGTTGTGTTGGTAGAATTCATTTCCTTGTGGCCATAGGGTTGAGATCCCATTTCCTTGTTGACCGTCAGCCACAGGCCACTTCAGCTCCTAGAGGTAACTCGCATACTTTACCACTTCATCTACTCCATATTCAACCCAGCACCAATGTGTCAAATTCTCATGCTTTCAACCTCTGAACCTTCTGTATTTGACCTCTAGACCCAGATTTAAAGAGCTTATGTGATTAGATCAGGACCACCCAGATAATATTCCTTTCTTAAAGTCAACTGTGCCATATAACATATCCTAATCATGGCAGTAAAATTCATCAGATTTATAATCCTGGGTATTATGCAGGATGTGTACACCAGGAGGAAGGGATATTTGGGCCATCTTATAATTTTACCTGCCAGAGAAGTTTACTTTCCACTAGGGTCATTAGTTTAAATTTCACTCATGTCATCGTCCAATGCATGAACCCTGCAGTGGTTCTGAGACCCAGACGCATTGGATCTAGGGACTCACTTCCCTGAGGTGTTGGAGTTTGCTACTGTATTCTTGTCATCCAGGAATCTGGCAAAGAGGGAAGAAAACATGTCTGTGGAATCGTGCTGCTTTTAGGGTCCAAGTCTGAAAGATGCATGTATTATTTAAATCCCCATTCCTTTGGACAGAAAAACTCGGTCATAAGGCTTCACCCCATAAATTTCTAAAATGTCTATGTGACAATGACAAAAAGAAGAGCTTGGGTGAACACATGACATTGTCTCTGCAACAACACTTAACCTCTTCTTGATTCCTCACGGTTGTGGTTTTAAACACATAATAGATTCTCACTAATTGTTGCTCATGGCATGAATGGATGAATAAGTCAGCCAACTATTACACAGTAATGTCACCAGGGATTTTTGAGGTGAGGAAAATCATTTCATGGCGTACAGTTTTAGTCTATTTTCCTTTTGATCATGATGCTCAGCTGTTACTTTTCAACCTGCCAGTATCTGAGTATACTGATCTTTCTTTTCAGTCTTACTTAACTCTTTTGTGAGTTGTGAAGAGATAAAGATTCAGAACTCTGTGTTAAACAAGACAAAATCATTTCTAAGTTATGGCTTGAGGAATTCTTCTCTGAGCAAATCCGCTGAGATTTAATTGGTACCAAAGTGAGAAGAAAGAGTAAACTACAAATTATGAAACCTATAATACATGTCAGGAAATTTGTGTTTGGAATCTCATTATATCCTTTGCAGTTACAATTTGGTTACAGTCTTGTTAGATATTTAGGGAATATTACAAATGAGGAAACAGAGACGCAAATGCATTATTGGTAATAGACACTTGCCTGTAAATACACAAATATTTGATAACTAAACAACATACCTCTAATTATCCTATGGGTTAAATAATAAATCATAAAAAGTTAAAATGAAAATGCAAACACAATGTGTCAGAATTTGTGAAATACAGGGGAATTTATAGTTTCTTTTGCAGGGCTTTCTCTTTATTTTTAATTGAAGTACAGTTTATTTACAATGTGTTAGTTTCAGGTATACAGCAAAGTGATTCAATTACACATATACATATATATATTCTTTTTCAGATTCAAATTTTCCAGTATAGATTATTGCAAGATATTGAATATGGTTCCTTTTGCTGTAGAGTAGGTCTTTGTTGTTTATCTATTTTATATGTAGTAGTGTGTATATGTTAATCCCAAACTCCTAATTTATCCCCCCCCAAAAAACTCCCCTTAGGTAACCATAGTTTCATTTCTAGGTATGTGAGTCTATTTCTGGCTTGTAAATAAGTTCATTTGTATTATTTTTTAGATTTCACATACAGGTGGCATCATATAAATACCTAACAAGATTGTAACCAAATTGTAACTACAAAGGATATAATGCAAAAATTAGTTAAAAATAGCAATAAACACACACCTGTCAGTAATTACTGTAAATGTTAATGGACTAAATGCTCCAATCAAAAGATGCAGAGTTATATGACCCAGGAATGCCACTCCTGGGCTTGTATCCAGAAGGAAATCTAATTCAGGATGACACCTGCACCCGAATGTTCATAGCAGCACTATTTACAATAGCCAAAACATGGAAACAGCCTAAATGTCCATCAACAGGTGACTGGATAAAGAAGAGGTGGTATATTTGTACAATGGAATACTACTCAGCCATAAAAACCGACAACATAATGCCATTTGCAGCAACATGGATGCTCCTAGAGAATGCCATTCTAAGTGAAGTAAGCCAGAAAGAGAAAGAAAAATACCATATGAGATCGTTCATATGTGGAATCTAAAAAACAAAAACAAAAACAAAGAAACAAACAAAAACAAAGCATAAATACAGGACAGAAATAGACTCATGGACAGAGAATACAGACTTGTGGTTACCAGGGTGGTGGAGGGTGGGAAGGGATAGACTGGGATTTCAAAAATGTAGAATAGATAAACAAGATTACACTGTATAGCACAGGGAAATATACACAAAATGTTATGATAAATCACAGAGAAAAAAATGTGACAATGAGTGTGTATATGTCCATGAATGACTGAAAAATTGTGCTGAACACTGGAATTTGACACAAACATTGTAAAGTGATTATAAATCAATAAAAAATGTTAAAAAAAAGATGCAGAGTTGCTAATAAAGCAAAAACCTTCAGTATGCTGCATACAAGAGACCCACTTTAGGGAGAAGGACACATGCAGATTGAGAGTGAAAGGATGGAAAAGGATATTCCATGCAAATGGAAAAGCCAAAAAAGCAGGTGTTGCAGTATTGATTTCAGACAAAATAGACTTTAAAACAAAGGTCATAAAGAAAGGTAAAGAAGGACATTTTATAATGATTAAAGGAGTAATACAAGATGAGGACATTACACTCGTTAATATATATGCACCCAATATAGGAGCACCTAAGTACATACAAGAATTACTAACAGAGATAAAGGGGGAAATTGATGGGAATACAATCAATGTCAGAGATTTTAACACCACATTAACATCACTAGACAGATCTTACAGACAGAAAATAAATAAGGCAACAGAGAAATTGAATGATACAATAGAAAAATTAGATTTGGTGGATATTTTCAGAGGATTACACCCCCCAAAAACAGGATATACATTCTATTCAAGTGCACATGGAGCATTTTCTAGAATTGATAATGTACTTGGGCACAAAAGAAGCCTCAACAATTTTAAGAAGATGGAACCACATGTTCATCTCAATAGATGCAGAAAAAGCATTTGATAAAATTCAACACCCATTTATAACAAAAACTCTCACCAAAGTGGTTATAGACGGAACATATCTCAACATAATAAAAGCTATATATGACAAACCTACAGCCAGCATAGTACTCAATGGTGAAAAACTCAAAAGCTTCCCATAGGATAATTAGAGGTATGTTGTTTAGTTATCAAAATTTCAAATATTTGTGTATTTACAGGCAAGTGTCTATTACCAATAATGCATTTGCGTCTCTGTTTCCTCATTTGTAATATTCCCTAAATATCTAACAAGACTGTAACCAAATTGTAACTGCAAAGGATATAATGAGATTCCAAACACAAATTTCCTGACATGTATTATAGGTTTCATAATTTGTAGTTTACTCTTTCTTCTCACTTTGGTACCAATTAAATCTCAGCGGATTTGCTCAGAGAAGAATTCCTCAAGCCATAACTTAGAAATGATTTTGTCTTGTTTAACACAGAGTTCTGAATCTTTATCTCTTCACAACTCACAAAAGAGTTAAGTAAGACTGAAAAGAAAGATCAGTATACTCAGATACTGGCAGGTTGAAAAGTAACAGCTGAGCATCATGATCAAAAGGAAAATAGACTAAAACTGTACGCCATGAAATGATTTTCCTCACCTCAAAAATCCCTGGTGACATTACTGTGTAATAGTTGGCTGACTTATTCATCCATTCATGCCATGAGCAACAATTAGTGAGAATCTATTATGTG